TCAGGAGTTTTTCAAAAGATTTATTCATTTTCATTTGAAAGGCAGATTTACAGAGAGAAGGAGAGAGACAGAGAGAGAAATCCTCTGTCTACTAGTTCACTCCCTAAGTGGTCACAATGGCCAGAGTCAAACCGATTCGAAGCCAGAATCCAGGAGCCTCCTGTAGGCCTCCCACATGAGTACAGGATCCCAAGGCCTTGGGCCATCCTCCACTGCCCTCCGAGGCTACTAGCAGGGAGCTGTACTGGAAGTGGAGCAGCTGGGACATGAACTGGCAACCCCATGGGATCCTGCTTCATGGAAGGAGAGGATTCAGCCACTAGGCCATTGTGCCAGACCCTCGAAGTAAGAATTCTGAAAACAGCTTTTATGCATTTTAAAATGCTAGTAATAACAGAGTTTTATACTGAACATATTGACTCATATATTCATCTTTAGTAACAAACTACCATTCTATCTTTTCTGCTTTAAAGACTCATTTTGGGGGTTGGGATTGTGTCACTGTGGTTAAGCTGTCATTTGTATCCCATACTGGAGTTTAAGTCCTAGTCACTCTGCTTCTGATTCAGCTTCTCAAAGTGCCTAGGAAGACACAAAATAGCCCTAGTACTTTGGTCCCTACTACCCAACCTGGAACCAGGATGGGGGTACTGGGATTCTGGTTTTGGTCTGGCCCAGCTCTGGTTGATCCAGGCATTTGGGGCGTGAGCCAGCTGACAGATATCTCCAGAAGCTCTCTCTCTCTGTGTCACCCTGCCTTTCAAACAAATTTAAAAATGTTAAAAATAGAAAAGAATGTTTTATGAATTCCATTAAAAGCCTACAAGTTCTAATTACACCAACGCCATTAGTACTGTGAGTAGATTCAAAAGTTTCTGAATGAAAGAATAATTATTAATTTAAAAAACTCTGGCCGGGCACGGTGGCGCAAGAGGTTAAGGTCCTCGCCTTGCACGCCCAGGATCCCATATGGTTGCCAGTTCTATCCTGGCAGCCCCGCTTCCCTTCCGGCTCCCTGCCTGTGGCCCGGGAGGGCAGCTGAGGACGGCCCGGAGCTTTGGGGCCCTGCACCCGCGTGGGAGACCCGGAGGAGTCTCCTGGCTTCAGATCGGCATAGCATCAGCCATTGCGCTCACTTGGGGAGTGAATCATTGGACGGAAGATCTTCCTCTCTGTCTCTCCTCTTTGTATATCTGCCTTTCCAATAAAAAAATAATAATAAAAATGAAATCTTTAAAAAAAATTTAAAAAACACCAACAACTCCCATATGCCTGGCTTCAGTATTAGTGGCAATAAGCTAGAGGCTGAAAGATGGGCATGGTACTCCACTCATGGTGCCTAAGGACTCCATATTTTTCACTGAGAGGCTCTTTATCCAATAACAATGCTTTCTCTAAAATGAAATTAGAAACTAACAGAAGGAGAAGAGTATAAAAATATAGTGTAATTACACTTTATAGTTTCAGCACCATGGGAATATACCTTAATTTTGTCACTAAGCTATAGAATAATATTTACTGTGGGTGATAAAAGGACAAAACCGAGGATGAGAGAACATCGGTTGAGCCACAGATACCCTGGGGGGCAGAAATATGAAAAGCTACAGGGGACTTTCTGAGAAAAGAGGAAATAAGAAATAAAATAATATGTGGATAGCAGACAAATGTTGTACAAGCTGTTACACATTAAGGAAATTCAGGTAGTAAAGATACAGAAAGGAAATAATCTTTAAGGAGGTTTTATAACAAAAGTTAGAATTAAAAGAAAACAAGATTTCAAAACCAAAAACCTAGGAAACACCATCTGAATTGTTATCTATAGTAACTGAAGATTTGAAAAGAAGTACAAGGGGCCTGAACACAAAGAATTTTAGCTATCCAGGGACAAAAGCACCAGTGACCAGAAGAAAGGTTGTAAATATTTTTAGGGGTTAAGAGTATTTTGAAATAGAAAGACTAAGGCAAATCACCTTGTTTCAAGACTGACTGCACAGTATACAACAGTAGTGCATCCAAGCTGTGCAGTCTTTTTAAAAAAGAGATTCGTTAAAAGAGAGAGAGATTTATTTGTTTATTTACAGAGAGACAGAGAAAGCAGGAGAGGGAGGGAGAAGAGCGGCATCAGGGAGAAAGGGGACTGGGGGAAAGAGGTCACTCTTCCATCAACTGGTTTATTCCCTAAATAGCTGCTATGACTGAAGCTCCAGGTCAAAGCCAGGAGCCAGAATTCCATCCAGTATCCTGCATGGAATAGCAGAGACCCAAGTTTCTGGGCAATCATTCAATGCTTTCCCAGGGGCATTAGCAGAAAGTTGGATCAAGAGCACAGCATCTGGGGCTGGTGCCATGGCCAAGCTTCTGCCTGTGGTGCTGGCATCCCAAATGGGCACTGGTGCAAGTTCTGGTTGTCCCACTTCTGATTCAGCTCTCTGCTTGTGGCCTGAGAAAGCAGCAGATGGTGGCTCAAGTTCTTGAACCACTGTACCAATGTGGAGAAGGCTCCTGGCTTCAAATAGGCTCAGCTCTGGCCAGCCATTGCAGCCATTTGGGGAGTAAACCAGCAGATGGAAGATCTCTCTCTCTCTCTGTCTCTAGCTCCACCTTTCAAATAAAAACAAAGTAAAAAAAGAAGCAGAGCAGAGCAGTTGGGACTTGAACCATTGCTCATATGTGGGAGGCCCACAGAAAAGGTGGTGGCTTGACTCACTGTACCACAATGGCAGCCCTCACTGCTTCTTGAATTCAATCAACTTACTATTTTTATGAATCGCCAATCCTTGAAATCAGAGGTTCCGTATATTACATCCAAAGTTAGGGAAGTCAAATAGTGCATAAAAGCTTTTGACATATTGTGTTAAATGGTACCTTTCTTAAAGTAATGATAATAAAAACTAGAGGTTTATTTTTACATGTATCAATCATATAAAATGTCTTAACATTTATTTAGCCTTTATTATTTTCCACACTTTCTCTATTTTCTTTTGTTATATATTTTGGCTATGTAGTAACACTTCAATGCAAAAACTGCAGGACTTATTGTGTCCTCAGAAAACAGCTGCTCATGAAGATAATACTTTCAGTCACTGGCTTAGAAAGCAAGATTCTGAGATTACTGCTGGTCCTAACTTGTCAACCAAAAAAGTTACTTCCTCTTTAGTATAAAGAATTGCAGAAGTACAGTTAAACAGATGTCTATGAGGGTTTATTAGCAGGCATATGATATGGTGGGTGAGCAGAGATACTGATATTTTCTTTGTCAGTGACCAACATATTTACAAATACCATAGAATGGAAGGAATTGTCTAAAAAATTAATAAGATCTATTTCACAGATTACCAATTCAACCAGAACACTGAATAGTAGAAATGACAAAAGATTTGTTCCTATAGTTGATAAAAAATTTATATCAGGGCATTCAAGTAAAGTTCTTTTCTGTGTTCTGATTTAATGAATCAAGTGAGTTGTATCTGGGTGGGTGACACAGATTCCGACTCACTGAAGCCTACCCTAATGCCTCCCTGCACAGCCTTCCTTGGGACAGTGAGGCCAGAATAACATGTCAGACTGAAGCAATATCAAAGAAAGAACAAGCAGGGCTGGCAACGCTATGAGGAGGACTCTTAGCATTTCTTGACCTGTGATTGTCTGGTAAGTTTGCTATGTCCTTCGGGCTTTAATGACCTAACAAGGACCAAGAAGCAACCAAGAAGTAATGCAGTGATGACTGATCCTCCAAAGATTTTTGCAATTCAAGCTGAAAAACACTACATTTATTAAATGGTTTAACCCTATCGAAAAATAGCTTTAGAAACCACTAGTGGTTTCTTAAAAGGTGAACAAGTAGTAAATGTTTTATATACGCTTGTGCAGTAAACATTTAATGTAGTCCTTTAAATCCATTAGATTTTAAGGTATATATTAATGCAGAAAACAAAATTCTGATACTATTAATGAAAAAATACATTGATGAAAAATAAAAAAAAAGCACTGAGCAAGTAAAGATACAAATGTAAAATAATGCAGCACATTAATGCTAACAAAATGGGCTGTCAAAAATGAAACTAAAGGAAAGTTTCCTTCAAAACACAGAAAACACAATTTGTGACAAACAAGGTCCTCAGGGGAAAAAAGGAGGTAAAAACAAAGAATGACTAAAGCTTATCAAAATATAGTACATCATGTTACATGATTTTTTTAATCACATAGAAAAGGAAAATAAGCACAAAATAGAAGCATGAATAGTCCAAGACAATTTACAAAATCAGTGAATAACTTCTGTCCTTATCAAAATGATTCATATTTAACATTTAAAAATCTTAAAGAATACTAACGATGGAGTAATGGAGACTACTATAAGCAGATGTGAAGACACAATCCAACATGCATCCCTACTCCCAAACAAAAGATGGAGTCCCAATGAAAGGGTTGGATATATCTAGATAATGGGATGCTGGACTGTCTGACATTGTCTATACCAGCAATGTCAGGGCACACTTAAACAGCAGACTGATGTAATTATGATTCCTTATGAAGGATTGTACTGTTGTGACATTATGGGAAAAATCAGTTGGGGGGTGGAATTTGGAAGGAGGGGAATCTCAGACTATACAGAATTGTATGATAAAATTCAAAATTTAGGGCCAGGCGGTGTGGTCTAGCAGCTAAGGTCCTCGCCTTGAATGCCCCGGGATCCCATATAGGCGCCAGTTCTAATCCCGGCAGCTCCACTTCCCATCCAGCTCCCTGCTTGTGGCCTGGGAAAGCAGTTGAGGATGGCCCAAAGCCATGGGACCCTGCACCCATGTGGGATACCCGGAAGAAGTTCCTGGATCCTGGCTTCGGATCGGCATAGCATCAGCGTTGCGCTCACTTGGGGAGTGAATCATCGGACAGAAGATCTTCCTCTCTCTTTCTCCTCCTCTCTGTATATCTGACTTTCCAATCAATAAATAAATGTTTAAAAAAATTCAAAATTTAAAATAAAGAAAAAAAATACTTACAATGACAGTAACACCATAGCAATTAAAGTCCATTCTGCAGGTTTGTGTATAATATTTCTATTTGTTAACCTGGAAGACAGTGAGATAAAATTACCCAAATATTTCCAAATTTAAGTAAGTAAACTCTCAATTTCTGAATAAACTTAAATTTATGACATTATACATCTAAGAATCACTTTGTAAATACTTGTTACATTTGACAAGAAAGAGTCAGTATCTGATAATGAACAGCTCAAAAGGAAGCTTTTAGTTCTATTTTTAAAATTTGTAACAGTAGTATCATTACACAAGATGGAAAGGTAAGAACAATGTGGAAAACTAAACTGCAAGGTTAAAACATACACACATCCTGGAAAAACATCCTCCATGCTGTCCCCTAGTCAAATGCTTTGTTAACGTTGAAAAAGGAAGCAAATTCTGATTTTAACTTTATTTATCCTTTTGCACTTCCCTACTCTGTGCTAGGTTGGCAGCAGACAATTAAGGGATGTTATAATTCGTACCTTAAAGAATGAGCTGGCTTAACCCTAAGCCTTTATTAAAGAGGACCTGTGTTTAAAACTTCAAAAGGAAATTCTGTTTCTGCCACTCTTTCAAACACAATTTTAAAAAGTACAATTTGTCTCCCTCCTCTTAGTTTGACACTCATGAACCCTTGATGTTGTTGTATGTTTTTCTTATTTTCCATAACACTTGCCACCTTTAAATATACCATTATTGACTTTTTTTTTAAACCTAAAAGCAGCAATCTTGTTTTTCACCCATTTATTCCAAATATCCAGAACAAGGGTCTGTCAGGAGAGATTCAATTAATATTTTTCTGAATGAATTAATTTATTTAAAATCTTAGGGAATATTCAAATCCATTTTGAGTGGAGGATATACTTTTATTAATCTGAATTTTTTCTGCAGAAGAAAGCATAATTCCCTATACCACACTTTTGTAATGTCTATTATACTTATAAATGTCTCTAGATATACTGAGGTATAATAAAAATTATAAATATTTCAACTGTACAAAATGATGATTTGAGGATGTGTACAGACTATGAAATGATGACCAAAATCAGGCTAATTAATTCATCCATCACCTGTCACATGTGTGATAATACTTAAGATACAATCTCTTAGCAACTCTGTCTACGACAGTTACAACTATTTAATAACTTTTCTATAATAGATGTTAGGATGCACAATTATAGCAGGAAATGAATAAACACTTACTGAGCAATGGAGTATACTTATTCTCCTGTGGAAAAGATAGGTTATAGGAAAAGGATAGCATATAAGAAAGGCAATAATTGCATGTGCTGGAGGGGAAACTTGTTTACCTCAAGGCTATATTTACTAAGGTTAAACTGCCTGATTCTACCCTGCTTTGGTAAGATCTGTTGAAAGTCACGTTAATATCACACTGACAAAACATTTTTAAGATTTATTTTTATTTGGAAGAGTTATAGAGAAAGGGAAAGATAAAGGGATAGAGATCTTCCACTGCCTGTTTTACTCCCCAGATGGCTGCAACCACAAGGTCTGGGTCATGCCAAAGCCAGAGGCCAGAAACTCCACTGGGATTTGCCATGTCGATGGCAATGGGCCATCTTCTGCTGCTTTCCCAGGCACGTTAGCAGAGATCTGGATCACAAGTCGAAATTAGACCTGAACCAACATTCATACAAGGATGTTGGCATCACAGGCAGAGGAGCTGTACCATAATGCCAGCATTCAAAAATTTACTTTTAAAAGAGCTATATTATAACCATATATATTTTTTAAGATGGTAGAATAGAATGACGATCTGTAACAATACAGAAGATATAATCACTGCTTTTGTTGAAACTATTATAGAGCTCTGTTTTTAAGTAATTTCAATGATCTGATCTGATAAAGTTGACTAGACAGGAGAATGTGAAGAACAGAGGATGCAGACATTCTGTACCAAAGCAGCAACTTCCTCTGAAATATGGACTGCTGTAAAGACCTGAATCCCTAGTCTTTTCTAATCTACACCTTTTTTAATCTACCAAGGGAAGAGGAAACGTGATGTGGCAAAAAAGCATGGGCCCTATAGTTAGTCTTGGGGTCAAACTACTACTTGAAAACTTACTTAATTTTCCCCTTATCTGTGAAAGAGGATAACACTTTTTTTTTTTTGGAAATCAGGCAACATCAAGCATCAAGTACAGCCCAACACACATGACCACTGTACTAAATACAGGTATTGATGTGACCCAGACATTATTACCAAGACTACTTCAAAAGGACAAATCAACAGATAGGCGTTTCCAATGTGACACACTCAAATTTTAAGGGAATATGAAAGTAGGGAGATTGTCCTCCAGTCATGTTTTTAAAAATGTCACTTAGATGATATAATTAACCCTGAAGGGAAAAATTCACATATATTAGGATGGCACAATCTAACTAAAGCATTAAGTTTCATTGTTTTCACTGAAACTAGAACAATGAGACCATTAACATTATTTGTTGAAGTGATGAACAGAAGTTCTCATTGGTGGGTAAAAGTATTTTTCATAGAGTAGCAGTCATCAGTGCCTGGGAAGAGGAGGGGGAGAGATGGTGAAGAAAGAATGATAATAGATACAAGGGTGAAGCTGGAGAGGTACACACTGTATATACATGTACTGAAATGTCATACTGTACCCCATAAATACATAATAACTATGAAGAGAGAAAAAAAAATTGAAATCCAGGGGCCAGCCACAAGGCACAGTGGGTTAGGCTGCTAACTGTGATGCCGGGATCCCCTACGTGTACCAGTTTAAGACCCAGCGGCTCCAGTTATGAATCAGCCCCCTGCTGATGTGTATGGGAAAGCAGTGGGAAATAGCCCAAATGCTTGGGTCCCTGCACCCAGGTGGGAGATCCAGGTTTGTACAGGCGACTAAGAAGAGCTCCCAGCTTCTGGCTTTGCCCAGCCAAGTCCTGGTCATTTGGGGGAGTAAACCAGCAGATAAAGACCCACTCCTCCTTTCTTTTTTAAAGATTTTATCCTTTTTTTATTGGAAAGGCAGAGATACAGAGAGAAGGAGAGACAGACAGAAAGATCTTCCATCCACTGGTTTACTTCTCAAGTGGTCACAATGGCTGGAGCTGAACCAATCCAAAGCCAGGAGTTCCTTCTGGGTCTCTCATATAGGTGCAGGGTCCCAAGGCTGTGGGCCATTCTCTACTGCTTTCCCAGGCCACAAGCAGAGAGGAGCAGCCAGGTTACAAACCTGTGTCCATATGGGATCCCAGTGGATAGAAGCCAAGGCTACTTAGGCTACAAGGCTACTTGGCCACTAGGCTACTGCACTAAGACCTCTCTTTTTAAAAAAAGATTTTACTAAACATTTATTTTTTTTTTATTTGAAAGGCAGATTTTTACAGAGAGAGATATCTTTCATCTACTGGCTCACGTCCCAAAAAGGCTGCAATGGTCAAAACTGGACCAGTCTGAAATCAGGAACCCTGAGCTTCCTCTGGTTCTCCCATGTGGCACAAGGACTCAGCCATCCTCTGCTGCTTTTCCATGCACATTAGCAGGGAGCTGGATCAGAAACTGAACAGCCACAACTCAAGCTGGTTGCCCATATGGGATGCCATCACTGTAGGCATTGATTTAATCTACTATGGCTATGCCACTGCATCAGCCCCTGGCAATCTCTCTTTTATGTCTCTTTCCTCCTCTTTCTATAATTCTACCTTTCCAATAATAAGTAAATCTTTTTAAATTTTTCTATGATTTATTTTTGTTGGAAAGGCAGATTTTACAGAGGGAAAAAAAGAGGTATTCTATCCATTTGTTCACTGCCCAAATGGCCACAACTACCAGAGCTGATCTGAAGGCGCCTCTTCCAGGTCACCCAGTGGGTACAAGATACCAAGAATTGGGCCATCCTCTGCTGTTTTCCCAGGCTATAAATAGAGAGCTGGATTAGAAAAGGAGTACACAAACCAGAGCCCATGTGGGATGCCAGCACTGCAAGTAGAGAATTAGTTTGTTATGTCATTTTGCTGGCCCCTAACAAATAAGTCTTTAAAAGGTAAAATAAAGTGAAAAGAAGGTTTTTTTCATTAATTTTTTAAAAAAGGAAAACAAATTGGCATGCACAAAATAGGCATAATTTTATTTGGTAGAAAAATAAACAGATCTTTGTAAGAAGTAAAAACCAACTGGGAAGAATCATTGCAATAGAAATTTCATGATTATCTGCCTCCATTTGTTGCATATTTTGTTTAGTGAAATTCAGAAGAATGTTTAGAATGTTTTAAGACGCCTCATATAGTCTTCAGTCTATGAAAGCTAAACAATTGGGAGCAGCACTGTGGTATAGCAGGTTAAGTGCCACATGTGATGACAGCACCCCATATGGGAGTTGGCTCGGAGTCCTGGCTGCTTCACCTCTGATCCATTCTCTTACAAAGGCATCTGGGAAACCAACAGGAGATAGCACAGACATTTGGGCCATTGCTGTCCATGTGGGAGTCCAGACGAAGCTCCAGCTCCTTAGCCATCTGGGCAGTGACCCAACAGATGGAGGATCTCTCTCTCTCTGTAACTTTGCCTTTCAAATAAACAAATCTTAAAAAGAAAATTAAATATTTAAACACAAGGTGTTTAACATGGTATTTCTAAGGCTCGGCATGGTAGCCTAGTGGCTAAAGTCTTCACATTGCATGCCTGGGATTCCATATGGGTGCCAGTTCATGTCCTAGCTGTGCTGCTTCCCATCCAGCTCCCTGCTTGTGGCTTGGGAAAGCAGTTGAGGATGACCCAAAGCCTTGGGACCCTGCACCTGCATAGGAGACCTGGTACAAGCGCCTGGCTCCTGGCTTCGGAGAGGCTCAGCCTGGTTGTTGTGGCCACTTGGGGAGTGAACCAGTAGATGGAAGATGTTCCTGTCTTTTCTCTTCTCCTCTCTGTAAAATCTGCCTTTCCTATAAAAATAAATAAATCTTTAAGAAAAATGATACTTCTTTGTAGCTGAAGGCATTTTTTAAGGTTTGACTTAAGCTATCAATCATAGATACAGACTTCTTTTTCGTAAACACCTTAGTGATAAATCAACTTTCTGAATTATTCCATAGCACACCAAAAAGTTAACAATGGGGTCAGTACTGTATCGCAGCAGGTAAAGTTGCCACCTGTGTCACTAGTATGCCATAGATGCACCTGTTTTGAGTCCAGCTGCTTGGTTTCTCTCCCATTTTCCTGCTAATGTGCCTGGGAAAAGCAGTGGCAGAGGCTCAAGTACTGGGGTTCTCTACCACCCACACTGGAGACCAGGATGAAATTCTGGGCTCCTGGCTTTGGCCCAGCCCAGCACCATATACCGCAGTCATTTGGGAGGTGAATCAGTGGATGGAAGATCTCCCTCTTCCCTTTTCTGTCACTCTGTCTTTTAAATAAATACATCTTAGTAAGCTCATAAAATGTGTAAAAATGATTGTTTGGTTATTACCCATGTATAGTACAGTACAGAAAAATCTAATAGGTTGTAGTAATAAGAAATTGTTTCTGTAGTAAAATTTTTAAACTTTAAAATATTCATTATACCTTATGTTACTCCATAATGGGGAGGGAATGCAGAGAAATCTTCCATCTCCCTAAAAACTGTGAGGAAGACGTGAAATATAGCCTATCAGGATCAAATCAGATAACTCATAGAAAACAGACTAGAGACGGCACTACACAACAGTAAAGCTACACAGGCATAAGGGGAGAATCGGGAGCGACCCTGAAAGCCTCTTAACAGGAGGTCATGCGTACAGAGCAAGGGGAAGACCCCAGAGTAGAGCGGGAGGTCAGGAGGTGGCTTGTATCCCAACCCTGAAGACTCTCAGATCCTCACCAAGGACTATCAGTACGGACACCAAGGACTACATCCCAACTGCTAAGCAGACCACGGGGAATAGGAGTGCCTTCAAAGGTCGAGAACTCTGAGGTCACCCACCCCCATCCGGAGCCTCCACAGGGGATGGAAGAAGTCCAAACTCTGCCGTGCAGAAACCAGTGTCATCGGAATGACAACCAGGAGCCCTGAGCAGTCTGCAGAAACCAAGGAATAATAAGCTTCCTTTGGGACTAGGGAGGCGAGCCCTCTCTGGTCCTTGCCTGGCTCTGGCTCTGGGTCCCCACCCTCCCTCGCGGTGACCATTAGGATCGCTCCAGAAACCCCTCAAAGCAAACGAACAAACATACAAAGAAACAAAAAATCTAGAATGGACAGACAACAACAAGGAAAGCTTAGAATCAGACAGGAAATGGCCAGCATGGATTCAATCAGGCCTCACTAGGTGGGACACAAGGATTAGTTATGCCTCACTGGGGTATTGGGGATTTCTCTGCACACCCATCCTAAAAAAATGTTCTGTACCTAAGCTGATAACACATGTCTTGCTAGAGTTATAAGCCAGTTCAGACCATCCGGAAAGCAACTAAGTTCAGCAAAATCATGCTTCAACATTATAAACAGCTAAATACAAAAATAAAAATAGACGAGACAGCTGAATAGTAATCTATAGCCATTTTGAGGTGTATGGAATCCGGTTGAATATAAACCAAAAATTGAAATGTCTATGAAGAAGTCACAGGATGTAGTTAAGAACCCGCATTTTCCTATTAACATAATGTTAATCAATACCATGTCAATTAATGCCATAAGGTTGTAACTGGCTGCTGCTGTTATGTCGGGGCTTTTAATTGATTGGGATGATACTTTGCTGGCTTTATCTTCAGACCAGAGATGGTCTCACCAAGAAATCATTGAACTCACTAGGATAATAAGATGCTGGACTTTATGCTTGGTAAATACTTCCAATGAAAGAACCTCAACTGAATTTGACCTGTGGTAACGCAGCAGGGTGGAGAGGTCCACCATGGGGAGAGGGTTCGGGGAGGTGTGGGGGGAATTCCAGTGCCCATAACACTGTGTCACATAATGCAATGTAATTAATAATAAAAAAAATTCATTACTGTTGACAATAATAAACTAAACCAAGAACACAATAGGTATGTTCTTGGGTGAAAGATTTTTCTGCCCTAGAAGTTACTGTATGTTGGTGCTATCTAGCATTGGCAAATTTTGATCATGTTATTGTGGCAACTGGCATTTGGCCAAAATGTGTACCTGCCACATATCTACTAATAAAGTATTTGGGAGCTTTGTTTCTTGATGAAGAATCTAGTCTTAACCTGAGTATTTTTACCTTGATAATTTTAAATCCCATCTGTTAATACTTCATAACTGCTATCAATCTCCTATTCTTCTCCCTTTGTAGATACTAGCCTTTCATGCCTGTTTCATTTAATTCAATATTAAGTTATTCATTCTTGCACTGTTCATTGTTTTTATATTACCTTCTCACAGAAGACTTCTTCCTTGAGATTAAGCAATACATTTTATTTGTTTTTTTAAAGCTTATAGTATCTTGCATGGCAATGATAATTTGATTTATACCTACCATTTCACAATACTCACCATGTTATTGGTTTGTGTCAGAGAAAGAACATTGTATTCAAACTTAACACACTGAAGGTAAGTCTCTGAGATTTAGTCTATCAATTCTACAAAGCAAACATCAAACTCAAAAAAATTATAACATTAACACTTACCTGAAAGTTCGGACAAGGTTTTTAAGCTGTGTGTAAATATCTGCTAATGTAATCTGAAGAGGGCCCAGAAGGGCAGGTAATCTGAAAATTTAAAACACACATACACATAAAAAATATGAATTAATTACATAACAATTTTCTTGGGGGCCTGGGTCTGCGTTCATCATTGGCAATAACAGTATTATATGGCACCTGTTATAGCTAAGCTTGGTTATGACAATAAATCATAATGAACCAAACCATAGTAATCCCTGCAATTCGCAACATATATTAACATATCAAATATGAATACCCTTTAATCCGTTAGCTTTACTGTGAAAAAAAAAAAAACTCCAAGGAAATAATCAGATGAATGTAAGAAAGATGCTTATTGCAGAAATATTTTAATTAGTGAAGAATTGGAAGCAAATGGAGATCAGTGGGTGGTTAAATAAATTATGATGTATCTATTCAGTAACCATTAAAGTAATATGAACTAGGCTCAGCGTGATAGTGTAATGGTTAAGGTCCTCGCCTTGAAAGTGCTGTAATTCCATATGGGCACTAGTTTGTATCCAGGCTGCCCCACTTCCCATCCAGCTCCCTGCTTGTGGCTTGGGAAAGTAGTCGAAGACGGCCCAAAGTCTTGGGACCCTACACCCATGTGGGAGACCTGGAAGAGCTCCTGGCTCCTGGCTTCAGATCGGTGCAGCACTGGCCATTGCAGTCACTTGGGGAGTGAGTCATTGAATGGAAGATCTTCCTCTCTGTCTCTCCTTCTCTCTGTACATCTGCCTTTCCAGTAAAATAAATAAATCTTTATAAAAAAATAAAGTGATATGAACATATATTTTTAAATGTGAAAAGTTCTGAAAATGTAAGTGAAAAATGCATATATAATTGTTCTGTATATTGTTCTATTTTTAAGAAAAACATATATAATGCTACTGTATATCATACTTACTACTTAGCAAACACAATCTTCTAGATTTTTTTTTCTAGGTTTGTTCTTATCACAGAGGGAGCCAAAACACATAAAAATACACATATAACATAAATATCACATACATCATGGGTAAACATCCAAGTAGTAGTAGTAGTTTTTATAGAGTGGTGGGATTAGAAATGATTTTTCACTTCCTTCTTTATATCATGTATAGCACTGCCTAAATTGTCTCCAGTAAATATGTTTAACCTTATTTAAGAAAAAGTTTTTACTACATAAACTTCAAAGATGTTCCAAAATGTAGAGAACAGTAATAATAATCCTATGGATGTATTTTTAGAGTCAACCTTCCAATATTTTGCTACTTTTGCTTCATTTTTTCCTTCCCTTTTTAGAGCAATATTTTTAAAGTAAAGCAAATCCTGGAGTTCATATGATTTGACTCCCTATTTCTATTTGTATCTCTAAATATATGCTCTTTCCTGTATAACCACAGTTAATTACACCTAACTACATTAACCAAAGTTCCTTAATATCACCTAATATTCAGCATACATTCAATTTCCTCAAACTATTTTGAAAATCCCTAGTCTTCACATATTTAGTTTTTTATGTCAGAAATCAAAAAAGGTCTTATAAACAACCAAAATATCCCTGCCATTATGGGTATCCACCACTCTTAGTGCTTCTTTCTTTTTTTCTATTTTCTATATGTACTTCCTTTTCTTTAAGTTTTCCTATCCTATATAAAATTGAGTTTTTGTGTCATTAACAATAATTTGAACATCTACTAGGACTCCGTTTGGACTCCTGTTTTACCTAAAATGCTGTAAAAGAGAACTGCTTTAATAAAATGCCTATGTGGTCTTAAATTTAAAAGATTCTTTCATTAGCTAAGAAGTGCAGCAAATTACTTCCACATAATACCTACTCAGTACATACCAACATAGATAATTCACAACAACTTTCAAGCCTATGTAATCAAAGCCCAATGTTGGTATCTTCTAGGCCAACAAATAAGATAGGTGGTGAGTTACACTGTTTCCTAAGACTAATATTTAACAAACAAATGTACAAGCACAAAGACCAAATAGAAAGGCAGCAATAACCAGATTTATTATATATGAAAAACCTCTAGTAAAGGCACTCCATATATATTAAACTATATTTGCAAAGCCAAACAAAAAGGATTATGCATTTTAAAGTAAAATTATCAAGCCTTCTATTATATCAAGTAATTTTTTATGTCTCAACTGTTCAAAATACTATAGCTTCTAGAAAATGTCTTTCTTAGTTTCGAACTGCCACCATATCAGGACTTGTACATATTTACAAATCTTTTAATAATGACTGACACATTTTCCATGTTATCTGTTAAAAAAAAGAAAATGCAGGTTGAAGTGTTCATGATCGCCCTCACACCTTTGGACAACAGATTTTCAAACTCTTTTCACAAAGAAACCAAAATAGCAACTAAAAATGTCATTCATGACTGAGCTAATTAAAGGAACAGTAATTTCCACCACAAGAAGTTTAAAACTAAAGTGCAAAGTTGAGCTGAACAGAAACTCAAGTTGCTGAGTGAAAACAGCTCCATGAATCTACAGGCATAGCAAGTTAACAGACCATTAAAACTAACAACTCTTATTCACACATGAGATTGATGCATTTGCCACAAAGCAGTATTTGAGTGGGTCTAGCTTTGATATTCTTTCCCTAAATTCCCTGGACTATTGACTAAGAGTGAGGCAGTTTGTCTTCCTTCTCCTATAATCTCAAGCTTCCTCTTCATGGTGTGCAATCTGTTCTCTACAAACAGTAATTCCTGCATAACATATCTTATAAGCCTAAAGTTCGTCAGTGAACTTTCACATTATTGTTCAAAATACCCCAAATTCATGTATAAAACTGAAAAATTATGAACTCATCAATATCAACTTAATTCAGAAACATTACAAATCTGGAATGGTAATTACATACTTACACTTTACTCAGTTTCTCAAGTACGATGCGTTTTCTGATCTGGCTCTGAGCATTTGAATCTACCAGCGGAAAGGTAGGGTCATGCTGAATCAGATTTTGAAACAAAGCAAAACAAAACTGTAAGTTGACATTATTTGATAAGCACAAAAACAAACACTAAATACAAAAGTTTACATTTGTATCGTATCAGGAAACACTAGATTTGAGAATGGTAAGCCTTAAACTTAAGTATCAGCTCAGTCATTAGGCTGATGTGAACTTGCTTGAATATTTTGCTCTTTGTAGTTAGCTTTTTCATCTTAGTAATATATTAACAACTACTATATTAGGCAAGAAAATGTACACAAAAGCATTCTAAAAGCTGTTACATTTAGCAAATAACTAAATATTATGGGAAGTCCTGCTTCCAGAAAGTTCAGACAACACAATTGAAACCAGCATTCCCTCTGACAACTAAAAGCATCAGAGAGCTAATAAGACAGTCAAGAATTTGGGGTGATATTTTTTAGAGAAGGTAATTCTAGACAGGAAACCAACTATTTCCAGAAGAGGCAATTTAAATACTGAGAACCTGAGCAGTGTTTTTCTAATACGTATTAGAGTTCAGGCCATGCCGAGAGAGGAAGGGGGTGAGGAACTCCACCAAACTGGTGAGCAGGTCTTACTGATCCACATTCTAGGAATAAGAATGAATAGAAAATTATCACTGAATTCCATCCTCAAACCCTTTTATTTTGCTTTTTTCAGATTTATTTCTTTACTTGAAAGTTGAGTTCACAGAAAGGGAAACAGAGATTACCCTTCCATCAGCTGGCTCACTCCCCAGAGTGTCATTTACATAAGATATAATTACATGTGTAGAAAATCCAATAGAGAGCCTGAAGTGATGGCCAAGTAGCTAACTCCTTGCCTTGCAAGCACCAGGATCCCATATGGGCACCGAACTATGTCCCATCCAGCTCCCTGCCTGTGGCCTGGGAAAGCAGCAGAGGATGGCCCAAAGCCTTGGGACCCTACACGCACGTGGGAGACCCAGAAAAAGCTCCTGGCTCGTGGCTTTGGATTCGCTGGTTCATTCACCAAGTGGCCACAACGGCTGGAGCTAAGCCAATCCATCACAGAGGCCCTATATCGTCTCATACTGTTACAGAAGAGTGAATAAAGTATAGTAAGGTATTTTGAGAGATATAATATTGATGTAACTTTTAATATACTACATTGTTATCTGTATTTTACTATTAGTTATTGTTGTTCATCTTTCACTGTGCCAAATTCATAAATTAAACTTAAATCACAGACATGTATGTATAGGAGAAACATGGCATACATAGGTTTTGGCACTATCTGCAATTTCAGATACCCATTGTGGGCCTTGGAGTATATTCCAAGTGGGCAAGCGCGGTCATCTCATATGGCTACTGCTGCTCCACTTCTGATCCAGCTCCCTGCTTGTGGCCTGGGAAAGCAGCAGAGGACAACCTAATATCTAGGGACCCTGTACTGTGTGGGAGACCTGGAAGAACCTCCTGGCTCCGGATTGGTTCAGCTCTGGCCACCGCAGCCATATGGGGAGTGAATCAGTGGATAGAAGTTCTTTCTTTCTCCTTCTCTCTGTAAATCTGCTTTCCCAGTAACAATGAAGAAATAAAAACTCGGCTAAACTAATTTTCAAGTCATTAATTTTGAGTAGTAATAACTAGGAGTGGACATTAAGTGAGACTGCTACTCTACTTGTAACGATGTATTTCTTTAGTGAATACAAGGATGTATCAATGTGCGGATGTTCCATGGTTTGTGCATTTATTATTTTACTTCAATGAAAAACATAAAAACATTATGCAATAGAGGAAAACTAATAAATTTCAGGTACTCAGTTTTCCTCTTTCAGGTTTATAAGCATAAACCTAAAATAAACTATAAAGTGATAAACTCTTATAGGCTTATGCATCTCAGTGAGAGACCTATTTCTCCTAGCTTAATGTAAGTTTTGGATGCTTAATAATAATGATTTCCAGTTGATCCGGGGTCAACATTCACTCTACAGAAACATAAAAGATTTCTAAATTTCTACTCTATCCTCCCTTCAAATCTATTTTTAAACTCAGAACCACATTTATACAACAATACTGATGAAGTCTTGAGACAAAAACCAAGATGATGACATACTCTACATTGCAAATGACTTTTTTTTTCTGACAACACACGTCAAAAATGGGCATCAGAAACACTAAAAGACTCTCCTTAAACTTCAGTGACATACATTCAGTTTCTATATGCAACTGCTATTTCTGAGTACTGATTATATATCATGCACTATGATAAGTGCTGTACATATACTGGCTTCTAAAATTCAAAGCAATTGAGAAGTTTCATTTATTGAGCCAACAGACTGGAACAATTCATATACCAAGTAAGTAACAGGAAACACTCAGAACTAGGTCTGTCTACCTGTGTTCTTCCCACTCTCTGTAACCATTACTTTCCGACAAATTTTCCTTATTACTCCACTTTTACCTAAAATATTTTAAGTGGGTATATTTGGCAAATGTCATTGAAATATTTCACTATTTAACCAGTTTGTACCACTGAATAGAGTTGCAATGGAAATAAAACTCAAACTACATATAGAAATCTTAAAGCATAAATACCATCACAGAAAAAGCAAGTCTTCAGAACGTTCACTTAATACACAAAGAGAACTTTACTCTGTCTTTCTAGGCTTTTAGAATAGTGAAGAATATTGCACTTTATATTTACTTCAGATGCATTTCAGCTTATTTGTAAAGCTAGTGCCAATAGCAGATGTGGCATTTTATTTATTTGCTTCAACGTACAAGAGTGTCAGAAAGAGAGGAGAGGGAGGAAAGGTGAGAGGGAAGGAAGGGAGGAGAGACCACTCTTTATCTGCTGGCTCTCTTTCCAAATCCTGGCAACCATCAGGGTTAGGCCAGGCCAAAACCAGGAACCCAAGTTCCACCTCTATCTGTCGTGTGCATGATGGGACCAACACTTGAGCCACCATTATCTGCTACCTCTCAGGATGCATCAAGCAGGAAGCCGGATCAGTGGAAGATGGAACAAAATGGCTGCCTAGCCCTCTATACCACAACCCCAACCAAACATATGGTATTGTAAACCAAAGCATAGAGTGGTTAAAGACATTTTCTGAAGATTTAATAAATAATTCTTTAATATTCTTATTCTTGCTCTAAGAGTTGCCATGAGAGTTTTCCAAATGTTAGCAGCCTGGGAAAATTCATCATTAAGACATACCTCTTCTGAGTCTTCTGATTTGGTGGTTTCTTCATTCAAAACATAACGTCCTCTAAAAAATTCTCTGATCCTCAGATTTAGTGTTTCAGTTTCTTTTTTCAGGAGCTCGTAACTTGGTAGTGGTTTAATGGCTGTCTCTGACCCTCTAAAAGGCAGAGATTCATCCAAGCTGCTCTGGGACTCCCTCAAAGCAGGACAGTGACTCTCTGTATCAGAGTTTATGTCATCTTCATCAAGCTCTTCATTAACCAGAGATGCTGAAGACGGCTTTACACACACAGAAGCATAATTCTGACCATGTAAAAACCTCAGAGTTTCTTCTGTCTTCCACTCTATCAAAGTCTCCTTCAGGACTTGAAGTAAATTTGTCTTTGCAATTTCAGGACACACTTGCACTGAACTAGAAACTTGCTTTGATCTGGCAAATTTCTTCTTAAAATGTTCAGCACTTTTCTTACTTATACCCACTAGAGTTATTTCTGATACACTGTACTGATTTTCAGAATTTTCTGTAGCTTTCAATCTTTCTTGCACAGGACTGTTTGAAGAAATCTGAGTGTTTTTCTGTGAAGGAAGTTCACAAGGTTTATCCTGACTATCTAATCCGCAGCTGCTTAACTGCCTGGTGATATCTACTACCGTCTCTTCTTGGTCTGTGTGTTTAGAGTTCACTTTTTCACCAGTTTTCTTTTTCATTATGTTCTTCTTGTGCAGCTGTGGCTTCATACACATTTCACTTGGCTTGTTTTGTGATAGAATGGAAGAAATAAAATCTTGTTCATTATCACTGGCACTGTCACTACAAGTGCTAGATGAACCAGATTCACACTGCTTTTCAAAATGCCCAGGATTATCAATATCTGATGCTTTCACAGCTTCACTGCGTAACTGTACTTCCTCACCAGAATCACCGCTGCAGAAGGCAAGGCAAACAAAACAATTAAAATGGGAGAGCAGAGTGTCCCACAGTACTTATATTCATAACTTTCAAGATAGACTTTTTTATTCTCTAGGTATGGCCTTATATGTTGTACCATATCTGTATCTAATATATACTTTATACACTTCTTCTATCTCTTCCCTTTATCTTTCCCTCCCACTTGTTTTAAAATTGTTAAAGGAGTTCATATAGGAACAACAAAAAGAAAAAGTTTTGATCATTATATCCTATCAAATTTTTCTTTGTTTTTGTTTTTTTAGTTTGCTGTTTTTACACTTGACTGATACAACCTTTTAAGAAGTTTGTTTCGAAAGCTCTATTATTAGCTTCTCTAATGGATTTATTATGAGAACTCTACTTCTGCTTTGAAAAATAAAAAAAAAAGTTATGGATAAACAGTTTCCAATTCTGACTGATCATTACACAGAAAATGCCACAAAATAAAAAAAAAACAGAAGTTAACTTCAGAAAATAGAGTTGACAAGTCAATATTTTAAAAGCCTATTTAAATTTGAAAATTCAAGGTTACAACAACATGCCAACAATAAAAGAAAACAGCCGTCCATTTGATTATTTCCTTCAATTTTCCAATTAGGTATGGAGGAGAATAAAAGCAAACAGTAGCTTCACCAATTCAAACTTAAAATGAACTCAGGCAAAGCAGTTGTTCTCAAACACAAATATAAGAAAAGAGCACAGTTATGGATGAGAAGTGTAGAAAGAGAACTGTTTCTTCAGAAATGGACAGCATTCTTTAAACAGAATCTTTTTTTATTATTTATTTTTTTAATATTTTGACAATCTTTACATAGTTAATTAGGGTAAAAAGGTCCAAAGGCTACAGGAAAGTGGGTAACACTAGTATTTTTTCCTTATTGTTTCCTTCATGTTTAAAGTGGGGTATTAAGGGAGAAGGCCCACACAATTTCCCACCCTCCCCAGGTCCCAGATGTAGGGCATGCTCTGAGGTTCTTGCTCAAGTGGTTTTGATATTGCAGCAGTTATGAATCGCTGCCAATCTTGCCACTCCAAGCACTATGAGGTCCTTGAAGAATCCACTGATTGACATAGTCCATCATAGCTGAAATGGTTGGTTGACCTGTTCTGTCTTCTCTCTTTTCTTGGTTAGGGTTCTGAGACCCGCTAAACAGAATCTTTATAGATTTATGGGACTGCCTCTTGAATTCAGAAACAGGTAATTTTTCAGAGAAAAAAGAGTCTTTCTTATATTTATATTTTCTGTTGGAATTTTTCTTCTTTTTACTTTTTAAAAAATTTAAAATTTTAATTTTAAAAGTTTTAAGGAAATTATATTTTTTCTATAAATTGAACATATACATCAATAAATATCTCTTACATAATTCTATATGATTCATACGATGACTAATAACCAACAACTTTTTATCAGAGTTAAGGATGTGTCTTGAGAGATGGCCATGACTGATCAAGCAATACCATGAGCAGAGTTTTGAAAAACAATCACAACTTCGGGATGTATATTAAAGATTTAGAAACTCTTTCAGATAGTTAAACAGACACATTAATACTCTAAATCCTATAAAATACAATAAAAACCTTTCAACAAATGTAATTGACAAAATCCAGTTGACAAAGAAAAACAGTATCAGAAATAGAAACTGTGTTTGTGTCATATTTCAACAGGTTCAATTAGACTTCCTCAGTAGGAACAGCTGCACAATAAATCATACAGATCAAACACATCATCTTAGTATAACAAAAGAAAAAGCTAAACTGGTCAAATACTTCTTTATGTGGGCTAGAATGGGACCCTTACATAATGTAGCAGCACACAGAATCCAAGAGCTCCTACACCTGGCACCCTCCTAATGTTTCTATTAACATGAGAACCATATAACAGGTAAGTGATACTGACTGGGTCATACCTTTGTCCTTCCTTTAGCAGCTGAAAATCAGGATACCTGTGACAAAAAAATAGAAACAGAAAATTAAAGCCAGCTGACAAGCCAAACACATTTAAGTGTTTATTGTAACTACGCTGAGTAAAAAATTCATCTAAAAGGGATTAGTTCATTGGAAGACTTCCTTCAAGAGAAAAATGGAAGGACAAAATACTATGAAACACACTGATCGAAAAAATCTGGGTTAGTTTCTCTTTACAGGGAATTTATTCATTTTTCAGGATAACTCTACTCACCTAACATTCTCCCTATCCTGAATGAAAGCAAATCACTCTCTTCTCTGAATTCAGAAATCATCACTGACCATACAACTGGTATGGTTGATAATGTGTTCATTCATAAATGAGCATATTTATGGCCTATACTACCGTAACAGTTATATAACAGTTTTCTCAATGTTTGAATCTATCATTATTATTATTATTAATTATTGGAAAAAGAGAAGGAGGGACAGAGAGAAAGATCTTCTATCTGCTGATTCACTCCCCAAGGGGCTACAACAGCCAGAGCTAAACTGATCCAAAGCCAGGAGCTTCTTCCGGATCTCCCATGTGGGTGCAGGGTCCAAGGCTTTGGGCCATCCGCCACTGCTTTCCCAGGCCACAAGCAGGGAGATGGATGGGAAGTAGGATTGCCAGGACACAAACTGGTGCCCATATGGAATCCCAGCACATGTAAGGTGAGGATTTTAGCCACAAGACTACCATGAAGGTCCCTGATTCTGTTTTTAACAAGACTTTTTTTTTTTTTTTAATTTACTTGGAAAATACAGTTTTTCAGAGACAGAGAAAGACAAAGAGATCTATCTGCTGATTCACTCCCCAAATGGCTATAATGGCTAGATCTGGGCAGGTCAGAATGGACCCAAGAGTTTCTCCAGTTCTCCCTCATGGGTGCAGGGGCCCAAATCGTTGGGCCATTTTCCCATTAGCAGGAAAGTGTAGCAGTCAGTACTGTGCCTATATATAGGTATGCCAGCATTGCAGTGGGTAGCTTTCTCCTATAAAGCCAGACTTACCTGGCTTTATAACTAGACTACAAGCTTTTCAATGGCACATATTATGTTTGTAATTTTCTTATAGGTATTTTATATGACAAGTGAAGCCTACTGCCTTAATTTTTGATAAAGCAATCATAATTTAGCATAGATGAGAACAATGTGGGGCATGTGATTTAATTTAACTCTAGGAAGAATTTTGCTATAAAACACCAGAAACCATATTTAGTCACGAAGGATGTTTAAAAGGGGGAGAAAAAGGCTTTTTCAAAGCAAAATATAAGGTAGTATACACATAATAACAAACGAATCCACAGCACAGGTAATTCTAGCATACTTCTGAAACAACCCAAAAGGAAAAAAAATGAGGGTCTTCTTAAATAACTATAAGAAAGAAGATGGTAGGTTCCACAATAAACAAAGGGTAAAGAGAAATTCTAATCGTTTATCTGATCAGATTAAACCTTACATGTGTTCAATATTGTATGGCACCCCAGTAAAAACGTCCACTAAAAGAAAATGCATGCATATTGCACGATAATCAGAAATTTTTAAAAAATGGGCCAGCATTGCGGCAGAGTGAGTTAAGTCATAGCTTGGGACCCTGCCTCCCACATGAAAGTTGGCATCTAGTTGGAGTCCCGTGGCTCTGTTTCTACTCTACCTTCCTGCTAATATACCTGAGGAAGCAGCAAAAGATAACCCCTGTGCATTGGTTTTTGTTGTCACCTTGTGGGAGATTCACAGTGAGTTTTAGGCCAATATGGCCTGGCCCAATTTTACTGTTGCACCCATTTGGGGATGAATCAACAGAAGGAAGATCTTTATCACACTGCCTTTCAAGTAAACAAAACAAGTCTTTCAAAAAAAAAATAGGCATTCAGGCTTCTGGCTAAGACTCACTCCCATATCAGAGAGCCTGGGTTTGTGTCCTGACACTTCCTTCAGTTACAGCTTTCTGTCAAAGTGCATCCCAGGCAGTGGCAGGTAAGGGTAAGCGGCTGCTGCCACCCACATGGGAGACTCAGAATGGGTTCCTGACCCCTAGTTTTGGTGTGGTCTAACCCTGCTTCAGCTGTTGCAGGCATCTGGGACATGAACCAGAAAAATGGGAGTTCTGTCTCTCTGCTTCTCAAATATATAACAAAAAGGAAAATATTCCTTATAAAAGATTACAGATATAGAAACAAGCCAGATACCCTTCAAAAGAGGAGTGGATAAAGAAACTGTGGTATATCTACTCTATGAAATACTACTCAGCCATTCAAAAAGAAGGAAATTCTATCACAACAAAATGGTCCCAACTAGAAACCATTATGCTCCATGAGATAAGCCAATCCCAAAAGGACAAATACCATATGTTCTCTCTGATATAAGGCAACCTTCATGCAAAATACAAGATCAATAGATATATAGACAAATAGTCATGTATATATAGTCATCTAGAGGAATTATAAAATAGAGACTATCATATCATATGTGAAGATATAATGTAGTATGTATTTCTATTTCCAAATCAAAGATGGACTCCCAAAAAGACTATTAAATCTTGATCACAGTACACTGGATTCTGCCATTCTGCATGACTACAATGTCAGGATACACTTAAATAGCAGAATGATGGACTTATAACTGCTTTTGTAGGACTGTATTATTTTAATAAAATATGGGAAATCAGTGGGGGGAGGAGTCAAGGAAAGGGAAATGCCAGAGCCTGTAGAACTGTATCATAAAATTATTAACTAATTAAAAATAGAAAAGATTACAAGATAAATAAAAAGAAATAGAAGAAACTAAGTATACATTAAAAAGAAGCTAAGGCATAAATAACAGGCTCACACATCCCATTTTGCAGAGCACTGCTGATTAAAAAAGTCAAGCAAAATAGATATATAATCTGAATTCATCTGAGTTACGACCTTCCAAAGCTGATAATCAAAAGTGACAAGTATTTTTCTGCATAATTAACTATCATGGCATCAGCTAAGCAACTACTGCCTAGATAAAACATCTTTCCTTAATTTAGCTTCAAGTGTAGAAGGCATTGAGGGGAATGGGATCTTTTGTTAATCCGTCCCTGGTTACAGGAACCACAGTTAACCAATTAAGGCATTCTTTCACTTTAAACTTTTTCTATCATACATTAGGAGACAAACAGAATGAAATCAGGTTTTGCCATCCTTGCTTTAGGGCAGGGATGGCTAATGTTTTTTTCTGCTGAGGGTTATTTGGAAATTCATGACATCACTGTGAGCCATTCACAACTGTCAATTTAAAAACCAACCTGTTTGTGACGAACAGTGTTGGAGTCTGTACTAGCAAACTCACTCAAGAATCAGATCTGGGATCAACTCAGATGAAGTTTCTTTGGATATTTCTCGAACTGAACTGCTGATCTTGGAACCCCAACCATCAAGAGACTGTCAGCCAGTAGACTCTGAATAAGTTTCATTACGGTTGGGACGGAGAGATTGGCAGCAATCCAGAACTGATGAACTATCAAAACTGTATGAGCAGGACCCTTGGAGCGCGCCTCATGTTGGGGATCGGGGATGAGTGGGAGGTAGGGTGGGGCTTTCCCCTTTGTTACTCCCCTAACCCTAGATACAGGGCAAAATGATTATATTAGTGTGGAAACAATGATATTACCCACTTTCACCCTGTAGCCCGTGACCCTTTGTACCCTAATAAACTAAGATTATTTAAAAAAAAAAAAAAAAAAAAAAAAAAAAAAAAAACCAACCTGTTGTGATTTACTGAATCTATAGTCCCACCTGCTGTTGGCCTAGCAGGGACCACATGCTTTTGTACGATTTCTACAGCCATATGCCAGATGTTCCTCACCACTGTTAGAGATTTCTCTGTAGTTCAGGAATCCCCCAAATAAACAAACAAAAACAATTTATCCCAATTAGCAGCAGGCAGCCTTCAGGCAGAAACTTGTTTTTTCTGCTCCTCTGATCCATCTCTTAACCAAACTGGCAAATCCTTCCCCAAGCATCTCGATTATCCTGTCTTCCCTTCTGCTTCCTCCTCATTAAATTTCTAGTTTACAGAAGTTACCTTCCTGTGGTGTTGCTCAAAACAAAGCCAAAAATGCAAACAACTAGGGACATTTTAACTCCTGTTAAGGTTTTTTGGGCCTAAATAATATGCTAACATTTTCAAAAATGTTTGGCTCACTAACTACTACTTCCACTTCTCGTTGTTCTCTTTTTTCCTACATCCTTATCCCACTCTTCCTGGATAAAATGAAGATTCAGCACTATGCAGCTATCTGGTATTCAGTCTTTAGCGGAGTCTGGGTTTCACTGTGGGAAAGAAAATAATAGTGACTTTTTTATTTTTTAAAATTTATTTTTATTGGAAAGTCAGATACATAGAGAGGAGGAGAGACAGAGAGGAAGATCTTCCATCTGTTGATTCACTCCCCAAGCAGCTGGAGCTGCACTGATCTGAAGCCAGGAGCCAGGAGCCCCTTCTGGGTTGCAGAGTCAAAAAGCTTTGGGTCATCCTCAGGCTATTGCGCTGGCCCGACAGTGACTTTCCATTAGACTCTAACACTTATGGCTAACTTGCAAATAAAGAATGCATATTATCATTCAACAGATTCCCCTGACAATCCAATTCTGAGCTACTATCTATATTTTATGTTTGGTATAACAACAGGAAGAAATAGGATCTTACAAATAGGAGAGAAGCATTCGGGCCTGGCATGAAGGCTCAGTGGCTAAATCCTTGCCTTGTAAGTGCCAGGATCCCAAATGAGTACTGGTTTACGTCCTGGCTGCTCTACTTCTCATCTGGCTCCCTGCCTGTGGCCCAAGGAAGCAGTAGAGGATGGCTCTAAGCACTTGGGACTCTTCACACATGTGAGACCCAGAAGAAGCTCCTGGTTTCGATTGGCTCTCAGCTCTGGATGTTAAGGCCACTTGGGGAGTGAACCAGCAGATGGAAGATCTTTTTGTGTCTCCTTCTCTCTGTAAAATCTGCTTTCCAATAA